ATTATAAAACTAACAATTGTTTGTGGAAATATAGAAATCAATTAAACATATAGTAGTATCATGAATTTTTTTAGGCTTGTTGAAGATTTTAAGTCCCATAATTATATGTTTGCTTTACTGCACAAAATGGATTTTGTTTCCTGTACAACATTAGTTGAAATCTCTATGTTTTAGAGCAAAGCAATTGTTGTTTAAATGTCTTAATACTAAACCTTCAAAAAGATGTTCATTCTCCCTTTTTAAAAAATAAACCCTTGAAGCTCTTTCAAATGGGCAATACAATTCCAAATTTTGCTCCATGTCACTTATTTCAATTGGATCATTCCCAATATTCAATCAGAACAAGTCTTCATAAACATTGATAATATAGCAATTTTTTTGTATTGCATTGTCCAGTTAAATCAGAAATAATGTTGCATTATAATATACCTTCCTTTTTTCTCCTGTTTGAACGTGATCTAACTCTGCATGATTGTTTCAGCAATATCTTAATCAATCTTTAAACATAAGAAATAAATGCAAATTAACTAAACAGTATATGTCAATAAAGGCTTATACATACAATTTACAGAAAATTACCATAAAACACTATAATTATATCTAGATTTTAGTGTTCCATGGAACACTTGTGTCACTTGCTCACACATGTGTCACATGTTAAAAAAGAAAAAGCAAAAACAATATTTTACTATCGAAAATCCCTGGTAATAGTTTTATACAATACGAAATAAAATTAGAGATACATACTTGTTTTATTCTTTTAAAAAAACATTAAGATTCAATAGTTTATTTAAATTAATCCAGGCAAGCAGTTTTTCAAAAAGGATTTTAACTCAATTCTTAGAAAACGTACTGTTTTGTTTCTACATGCTAACAGTTATAGTCGCTTATGTACTGAAGTTGTTCCCCTGAAAGTCTATTTTACTCCATCTATTACGTGTTTGTATAATGTCAACCCTGGCCATTCCAATATTTGTAAAAGTTCATACTTTGTTTGGGTTACCCAAAATATCATTGGTCATACATGTATAACAATTGTAAACACATTATCAATGTTAATCAAAAGTAGTTGATTGCCTATTTATATGTCAGCAAGTAATCAAATAAACACCTTTTTCTAGGTTATGTTAAATTTTTGAAATTATAAAGAAACTAAGGTTTCAACTCCCTCAGGCAAAGTTGACCTTAGATGAATTTGGCTATTTTTTAGGTATTTTTTTGTCTTATAGCTCTTCAACTGTTTCGGTTCTTATGCATTTTCGGCTTTGAGCGTTCCTGATGAAGTTAAATCCAGAAAAGCGCTTCGGACGCATGAAATTATTTAACCTGTTGTTTTCATTTTTTACAGCACTGGGTCGATACCTCTGCTGCTGGACTATCAGTTCCCGAGGGTATCATCAGCTCAGTAGTTAGTACTTCAGTACTGACATGATTTATAACAAACCTTTTTCAAATTGTCCGTTTATAAATTTTGAAATTATAAAGAAACTAAGGTTTCAACTCTATCAGGCAAAGTTGACCTTAGATGAATTTGGCTATTTTTTAAGTATTTTTTTTTTGTCATATAGCTCTTCAACTGTTTCGGTTCTTATGCATTCTCGACTTTCAAATATTCGGCTTTGAGCGTTCCTGATGAAGCTAAATCCAGAAAAGCGCTTCAGACGCATGAAATTATTTAACCTGATGTTTTCATTTTTACAGCCTTGGGTCGATACCTCTGCTGGTGGACTATCAGTCCCCGAGGGAATCATCAGCTCAGTAGTCAGTACTTCGGTACTTACATGATTTATAACAAACCTTTCTCAAATTGTCCGTTTATAAATTTTGAAATTATAAACTAACTAAGGTTTCAACTCCCTCAGGCAAAGTTGACCTTAGATGGATTTGGCTATTTTGTAGGTATTTGTTTTGTCATATAGCTCTTCAACCTGTTATTTTCATTTTCGCAGGTGTTTTCACTGTGTTTTCATAAGCGTATGAAAGCTGATGGGTATATTTTATTTCAAGGCACTGAGGAAAAAGTAAAACTTCTTTTCGAAATAGCTATCACTAACCATAACCTACTGCTATTTACTTTTGAAATTGATAAAATTTGAAATTTCTAGATTTAGGAACATATAACAGGACAGAGATTTCGAAACGAAAATATCATAATTATTAAACGTTTCACAAAACCAACTGAAAACATTTCAATATCTATACCAAAATTCAAACCATGCTAAAAGTTGTTTTAAATCCGTTATTAAAGGTGAAGGAATACGAATTCTAAAAAAAAACTGATCCTGACAAGTTTAATGAAAGAATTAATACACAGAGGTTATACAGACGCTTTTGTGAGTAAAATATTAAGAAATATTTCTCATACAAAAAGATTAAACAAATTCACAAACAAAGAAACAAGCATTAACAACAAAAACACATATAACTATAATATCTCTTTCATAACACAATACCACTCTAATGTGGAAGATTTACAAACCATTATTAGAAAACATTGGCATATAAATCAAGACAACCCACAGTTAAAACATCTCTTTGATAAAAAAAACATACAATAGCATTCAAAAGAAACAGGAACATTGTAGAAATCGTTAAGAAACACTTAAAATAAATCAATGTCGTCTAATAGAAATTAATTAGACAGTTACAATATAAAATGCATACTGAAACGTATTTTAAACTAAATCTAATTACACAAATTAGTAATCCATACTTTAATAAAGCGTACAATAATTAATAAAACATACAATAATAAATATATAAAGAATAAAAAAAATTTAAGGACGACCTCCAAAGAGAGTTACCTGGAATATAATTCCGAAAGAACTCGAAACATTGTACACGTAGCACGTTATCAATGTAAGGTCGGAAATGTGATCCATACGATAAACGTGTGGATGTTGGATCAATATACCTATAAGCTGTGCAGATGTTTTGGCAGGCTTATAGTCTCTGCAGATACCTGAAATTATAAAGACATTTTTCTCATACTTCTATGAAAGGAAAAAAAAACTAAAACATACCAATCATATGATATTATATAAGTCTTCATCTTTAACTAAGCAAAGCCATTGCACATAAATTGCATTACAGTGATTAAAAGGGGAAGCATTCACGTTTTCATATACACATCAAGCATTATTTATAACACTGAATTTTAGATGCCTTTAATTGGATTCATCAATTGCAAGATGAGAACAACATGCTCCAGAGTTGGATTAAGAAGGGCTTATATAGCTATAAATATAATAAATGCACAGACTTTTACCAATATCACTCCACTGTGAGTTTTTCAGGCTCCCCTCCTTTTTGAGAATCCTGGAACCTCACCTGTGTTCATTTAAATGTACAAAATAAGGAAGCACATGCCATGTTCAATATACCCATGTTTAAGACAAGCAAGTATTCATCTCTGAGTCAATGATTCAAACTTGGTAAAATCATTTGTATAGGGGTGTATGATTTAGGAAGAAAATGTACAAGCCTTGCAACATGTGCAAGGAACTATATATAAAGATGCAGACATGCACTTTGAATAAAACTAATTTGGTAATGGAAATTGATTGAAAAATTCACCTATAAAAACAAAAGTCTAGACATGTGAAAATGTTGGTCAGTACATCCCCTCAAAATGCCATTTACTACTCTCAATATCTCTACCAAAGCCTTTAAATGTGGACAAAGAAATATCATGCAAAGAAGTGGGACAGCTCCACTTACTCCTAAAGGAGCATACTTCTTTGCAAAAAGAATAACTGAAATGTATACATTTAAAAAAAATATGCTTACCTGATGCAACTGGAAGGTCACATCCTTATGTCCATTATTTGTAATCACCACATAGGCCAGTGATAATGCTCTGCTTGATCTTCTTATCACATCAGACTGTTCATCAAATGCACTGTCAAGTTTCCAGTGTCCTATGAACAATGTAAATGCTCATCCTTGTAATTTAACTGATAAACCATCATGGAACATGTATAAAGATATCAACAAAGTAGATAAAATGTGTACAACAAATACATAATGAGTAGCACATATTGTGGCAAACGTCTGCTTCTATTTTGATGTATGTAAACACATGACTTTCACTATACCTCGATCTAGAGAGTTATGCAAAGGGGAGTAACTCTTGCAAAATTAAAGCTAATTTATGCATGCTCATAGCTAATTTCTGAACGAAATCTAATTAGCCCCAAAATGTTTTTACATTTATGAGAAATATAAAACAATATAAATACAATGTATAATTTATTTTAAACAGCAGTGGATGCGTTTTTGCATACATGACGGAGAAAGTTAGTACATAATTGCTTGAAAATATGCCCGAAATTCATACTGTTAACCCTGATGAAAGAACAGGGGTCTAAATTTGAGGAAAAAAAGTATTAAAAAGTTGTTGAACAAGTATTTGTCAAATTTTAAAATGATTTGAAGTTTAACAAACATTTTATCTAATATATAAGTGACTATAAGCAGAGAATCTCAAAAATCATCTTTTTAAAATATTCAATCTCTGTTGCCATGGTAACCACAAAATATAAAGTGTGACATAAACATATTTTTTTCATATTTTATGTCAATGTTTGTTGTCAGAAAGTTTCAACAAAATCGGTTACTATCCGTGCCCAACTTGGGTTGATGGATACAGAGATTGTCTGTTCCAATATAAACATTTACCTTTTCCTCTTTGAATCAAAAACAATATACTGAGTAACGCTAACCCCACAAACGACAGAGAATTCGAGAATAAGGAGACGGGATTACATCTTCATCCGTAAAATAGATATTCTTAAACGATAAATCATGATGGCGTCCGTAGATTTTTCAAATTGATGACTTCAACTGCACAACTTGGAACCCTTGTTTTAAAATCCTCCTTGTTAGCTGCAACAATTTATGTTAATATAAACAAACAAGTTCAGTTCGTCTACTTCACAGACAAATATGGGAAAAGGGTATATACATAATTGTATTATTGCAGCATTTATTTATTTCAGATTACAAGTCATATTCATCAATTCAGATGTCGGATCATGCTGATCACACGCTATGTGGTAATGGAGACGAATTGACATTAGTCACAGCTTATTTTAACATAGGTTCATTCCATAAAACTTCAAATCTAATTTTTTCTGCAAGCACATATTATAATTGGATGAAAAATTTTCAGTTTGTGAATAATTGTGTTATACTTTACACGGATGACCTTGCTTTATCAGTGCAGTTCAAATCATATCGTAGGTATTTCCCAATCCAGAGGACTAAAGTATTCATTCTGAATCAAGAAAGTCTTTGGGCTTTTCGTTTGCAACCAACAATCAAAGAAATTTACCACCAAAAAGGATACCCAACCCCGGGTATACCCGCTTATTCATCTGCAATGCATGCTAAGTATGAATTGATCGGAAAAGTAATAACAGAAAAAATACACACGACGACTTTTCTTGCATGGATTGATATAGGCTATTTCAGAAACCATATATCTGACTGCTTTGAAATGAAACCGCCCAAAAGTATGAGAGATGATCATATTTCATTTTCGCAAGTCGATTTGTTTAATCCAAATCTTACTCTAAAGGAAATAATGTATCAACATAAATTGTTTGTAGCTGGTGGATTTTTTATTGGAAAACCGGATTATCTGTATTTGTTTATCAAGGATTATAAAATAGCAGTGAAAAATTTGCTGAAATTGAAACTGATGAACTCTGATCAGCAAATATTGTATGCAATGTACTCATCAAAACTATTTTTTCTGCCAAAGATACAAATTCAAACTTTCTTTGACGAGACACGTTTGAGAAAAAGATGTTCTGATCGATGGTTTTATTTGGGACAACTCTGTCGTTTGTCAATAAAACAGAATGCAAGTGAAAACAAATGCATTCCTAATTAAATGTTAATATAGTCGCTATTTTTATATATTAATTTAAGGATATTAGGCATGATTGCAAATGAGACAATCGTCCACCAGAGAATAAATCTCGATCATTAAGAACAAATAAATTGGAGGTATTTTTATTGATGTTCAAATAAAAAAAAAAATGAATTATACGCAATAAAAAAAATTAAGGTAATAATTAAACAAAACAGGAGGAAACTGCCTTAGTTCAAAACGATTAATGGTTACAATACTACTCAACCAGATGTGTGTCCCTAATTGTAATACTCGAGGCCAAAATATTTGAAAGTCCAAATAATGCTACATACATTAAAAAGCTGATAGACAACAAAGGACTAGAAGTAAAGTAAGACCAGAACAGGAGATCATAGTTTAGCCTGAGGGAGATGCAGAGACGGAAAAGAAGCTATGACAGGTTCCTGACCTGGGACAGGTACATAAAGTATGTTGCGAGGTAAAACATGTTTGTGAGTGCTTAACCCTCCCTCAAACCCGAGACAGTGGTGTTACAGCACAACATATGAACAAACTATAAAAATCAGTTGATAATGGCTTAACTCATCAAATCGATACAAAGCAGAAAAACAACTCACAGACCGGACGTGGTAGGGTATATATACATCCCTAACAACAAAAATGACACAAAGTACAGATCATATATACATCCCTAACAACAAAAATGACACAAAGTACAGATCTAAGAGTACTCGCACTTACTGATCTAGTTAAAAACCAATAGCAACTAATAAAAAATCGTGTATCTAAGACTAAAATATCAATCAGTACACATCCAACATCCAATGAATTTAGTGTAAAGACAGTCAGAGAAAACCATCACCTTATGCAATGCCAACATATAGGTATTGGCACATTGTATTACCGTGAAAGTGAATATGTGTATAACAATAATAATTAGTGTATTTTCAATAATTATACTGATAACGAAATCAATACTTATACCAATAAAAACAATAGTCAACGATCTAGTTACAGTATTCCATTGTTTACCGTTTAGAATTAGTTTATTTAAAGAATTGATACGCTTACCTGGATCGTATCTAAATTTCCGGGCTCGGTAAACAACATCAGCGTAGTAATTCAAGTTTTGATCTGAAACATTCATTTTGATCTTTACAACTTTTAAAAGACTGAACAATAAATTATAATGACATGTTCGATCTTTTAAACATTTTTAAGACTTATTATCTGCGGAAGAGTGATCACTCTTCACTAGCTTTTCAGACGAGACGGTATATTGTTATTGTGTACAGGTAGAGAGCAAGTAGTGAACAGTCTGAACTTAGACTGAACATATCTTAATTGACTGCAAGCAAATTGTAAAAACAATAACGAATTTAACGCAATGGATAAGTCTTAACATATAATAAAAGACTGAATGTGACTTTATAATATATTATTCCGGCTTTTAAGACCTATTAAGATCGAAATAACAATTTCCGATTAATTTTGGTTAATTAATGCAAGGATCCGTTTACTGCGATATCATGATTTGGTATAAGCTGAATAACAATTACATCGAAGTGGATAAATGTTCAATCGACGGAGGTATATACAAATACCTACAATTACTTGTTTACATGCCGTGTTTATGCCACAAAAGATTCCACTGAATAGCGAAACGTAACAACCACTTAATTTTAAAACTGTATCAAAAATAGAATGATGTATGCTAATCGACTAAATAAGTAAACATATGAATAAAATTTGTACAAACATGCAATGTCCATACAATAATACACATATAATTTCTTTTCTTAAATTCATATTTATAATACTTACCATGTAGCCTAAGTAAAAGGTAAATGTCTTTTTTTGTTAATTTTTTTTTGTACCCATCTGCTGTCAAAACAATTTCACAAATGTTTATCAAAAATTAATGCCTACAACCTGCTTGAAAATCATTCTTTCAAATTCAACCAATATGTTGTCAATGAAAACTCCAAGATGCTGATTACTTGTTACTGTGTAGCATGTTTTTTCGGGCTCATTTTTAAAGATTTTATCAACTTTAAGACTTATCACCTGTGGTAAATTCAGTACTATTCAGACCATTCGCTATCAGTCAATCAATATATTTTGAGTATATGTTCACACTGCTCGATAGTTATAACCTATATATATATAGCTACCTTTACAAAACAACAACATGCTGGCTTGTACGAACGGCTCCAGAATTGCACTGGGTTGACTGCAATCATAATATCTAAACAGAAATGAATTAACAACAACCAAAGATATAAAAAATTACTTAAACTTTTTACAAGACTTAAAGTCTTTAGATTCATACATTTCATGATCAGATGATGTCAAGATCAGAATAGCCGTTACGGACTTACATTCATAAACGAGATCAGCAACCTTCTATCAAAGAAATCAGGACAGGAAATGTGAGTTATAGACTATCAAATGACAAAATGTTATGAAAAATAATCTAAAAACTAAACAGCCCCCTTTAAACCTCTATCAATGAAAAACAAAAGAAAATAAAAATGCCAGTGGGAACACCCAGGAGTGCTGTGATATCATCATTCTACCAGTACAACCACACAGTTTGTGTCTTTTATAAACTTACAACGTAAATTGTGCATTATTTGTGAACTGTCCATCTCTTAATAACACTTATTTAACATTAAGCGGGAGTTTGAGGTCACAGATTTGACCAACAGCTGTAAAATAGAAATTAAGTAATCTCTGTGGTAAACATTACTCCTCTTTCTAGACAGTCAATGTTTGGCAATCCGGCTTCCTTCCCGAAAAAAAACTGACCACCTCAAAATAGCACAATAGTGCTGAAAGTGGCGTTTAACACCAATCAATCAAGCAATTGTCAATGCTAAGACAATATGAAGAGTAATAAGCTGGATATAATCAATGTTTAACATCATTTATAAGTATCAGTCATATTCAAAAAGAAGTATCTGGTACTGTGAAATTAACTATTTCTATTCCCCAAGGGCGACCGTGGAGAAGAAATATGGTCACGAGTGGTCTTCTATCCGAACCTTGCTAAAGTTGAGCGTCCGTTTGGCTGTGCCGGATAAACAAGTAGGCAGCCAAGTCCGCTAAGAAAGGGAACGCTAAAACCGATGCCTCGCGTAGAGGGTGTGCCACGCCCTTTGGACGTTAAAAACCCTTGCAAAAACTCTTTGGGGGTTCGTAAGGTGGCCTTGTTATGAGGCGAAATGTTTGTACCAGACCTTCATCATTCTGAAAATACATTGTCCCGCATGACTTTTGAGTTATAGTAAATAAAAAATAACAGATTACATGCATAACTTTGCCATAAACAGAAGGCATCCTCGTCGCTTAAATGTAGAAGACCAAAGAGAAGAATGTATATACATTTCAGGGGAAAACACGTTCACTATTATCTGTGATTTGTTTACAGTAAGAATTGTTGCAACTGTTATATTCAGAAACAAATTCTTCTAGCCTAAGTAAGAATATGTGTCAGAGTACTCTTACACATTTGCCCGTATGTTTCTCCACTTTACTTTTTTTTTCATTTACATTTTTCACTTTTATTCTTACTTTGTTTACCTCGATAGGTATATACGATACTCGTCTGTTGATTGCATAATAAAATAAAACCACATTTTTTTCCCACGCGTAACGCGTTGCCGGGGACATGGACATACCGGGCGTCCGTCCGTGCGTCCGTGTGTCCATGCGTCTGTCCGTCTGTCCGTCCGTCCCGTCTTGTTAGCGCTCTCAATGGTACAATTCTTGCCAGATTTTTATAAAACTTATACTATAAGTTAATATCAGCAATATCTCGGACAAGTTCTATCATGGTGGCCGATCAACTTTTTTAAAAGATTTATTCCCCTTGGAAATATTAAATTTATGGAAAATGGCCTCGTTAGCGCTCTCACGGGTACAATTCTTGCCAGATTTTTATAAAACTTATACCATAGGTTAATATCAGCAATATCTCGGACAAGTTCTATCATGGTGGACGATCAACTTTTTTTAAAAGATTTATTCTCCTTGGAAATATCAAATTTATGGACAATGGCTTCGTTAGCGCTCTCACGGGTACAATTCTGGCCAGATTTTTATAAAACTTATGCTATAGGTTAATATCAGCAATATCTCGGACAAGTTTTATCATGGTGGCCGATCAACTTTTTTTAAAAGATTTATTCCCCTTTGAAATATTAAATTTATGGAAAATGGCCTCGTTAGCGCTCTCACTGGTACAATTCTTGCCAGATTTTTTATAAAACTTATATTATAGGTTATTTTCAGCAAAATCTCGGACAAGTTCTATCATGGTGGCCGATCGACTTTTTTTTAAAGAGTTATGCCCCTTGGAAATATTAAATTTATGGAAAATGGCCTCGTTAGCGCTCTCACGGGTACAATTCTTACCAGATTTTTATAAAACTTATACTATAGGTTAATATCAGCAAAATCTCAGACAATTTCTATTATGGTGGACGATCGACTTTTTTTAAAACAGTTATGCCCCTTGGAAATATAAAATATGTGCAACGCGGGGGACATTGAACTCTGTTCTTTTATTTATCTTGTGGTCAGATATTAACAGCTGGACACCTGGTGTGAACCGATGGTTGGAAAATTAGCTCCTCCCATATGCACTTATACAAATGTTATATATAGACTCCTTGCCATGTGATTTTATTTACAGAAATTTACTATTAACTTTTTACCTCTTTTGAGATAATTAAAACTCTGGGATTTTTACAAAATATTCAAATGGATAAATACTTTAAAATAAATATACAAAAAATCACTAAACAATCATTATACGACTGTAGTGCTACCTTTTTTGTATGTATATCATAGAGAAAGCAATTGTACGTTGAAAGAACTCAAATACACCTATCGAGAAGACAGAATGATGTTTCCTTTATGTAAGAAATACAGATGATAAGTGATTAACGAACGATTTATTGACTGCAAAAATGGTACTCGAATGTAAAAATGCGGAATTTTACGTTACATTTAAAGACTTAACTAACTGTATAAAATGTACGAGTTTCAATGGTCATTATTCAAAAGGCATCATATATGCAGTAAACCCGGAGCTTTGATGGCCTAGTGGTCTAAATACTGTGTCATCACTGAGGTTGTGAATTCGAAACCCGTATACGTAAGTGTCAGGTGCGCTCGACTCCAATCTTAATTGACTAGGATAATGAGTTTTCCTGCTGAAGCTCGGTGGTTCACCCCGGGCACTCTGGGTTCCTCTGCCAATAAAATGATACCACCACGAAGTGCCAATAGTGCTGAAAGTGGCGCTAACCACCAACCAATCAGTCAATAAATCAATGCAGTAATCTAACCCTAGATTCCGGTTACATACAGATGTCAAACAATTTGAAGCAAATGTCGGCGAATTTATGTTTTTTGCATTTAATTTGTCCCGTTGAATCATGTTTATTTTCACTTTGCAAGATAATCAATACACACAACCTTTTGATATAGTCAATGCAGAATCACATAATATTTGCAGCTGTTATATTAATCTTCCTGGATCTTTTCGAACCATTGACACTGTTTTGAATAACAACAATTACAAAAAAAACAATTATTTTTATATTTCTGGCCAATTTACTGAACTACATTACTTTAATAATATGTTTACATAGTAAAAAAGTTCCAGTAACAAAGAGGAATATAATACAACAAAGAACATCTTTGTTTCCGTCTCTGGAACATGATAAAAGTCTCATATTATTGTCGGAAACAGTAAAGTTCATATACATGCACCACTAATTAGTATAATAATAATCTGACATCTAATATATGAATACACCCAACACAGAAATCATATAATGGATTGGCATGAAAATGTGTTAAGCATTGAAATCAAAACCATTCTTTAAATTATGTAATTTTTGTTTAGAAGTCAGAAAAGGAATCTAATGATTTTTTTGAGATGGTGTATTATTCAAAATGTTTGACTATATATTAAAGAGTTGATGAGAAATTGTGATATTTTTTGCATTTAAGTTTAATGGCAATCTTACTTTCGATATATGAATCTAACCAATACAGAAATCATATCATTAATTGGCATGTACACGTACCTAAATTTGAAATCACAACCATTCATTGTCATTCATCAAAGACAGATATTTAATTTTTGTTTGGAAAATAATATTGAATGTTTGACTATCTATGAAAGATCAAATGAGAGTTTATGATATATTATGCAAGTTGGTGTGAACGAAAATTATTTGTGTTAATATAAAAGCAGTAAATAATATCTTGTTGCTGTTCTTATCTTATACATACAAGTGAAGATGCAAAAAAATATTGTGTAAAAAAACACAGTATGATAGAGTTATTCAAATATTGGATCGGGATAGACAATAAACCACTAGTCTATGTTTCTTAATCTCTGCACAAAATGTGCAATTGTAAAAAGCAGCATTTAACATGTTTAATTGACCAAATAACATGTTTCCTAAAAGATATTTTGATTTTAAACCTATTTATTCATTAAGATATGAAAAGGATTTAGCAACAGGCACAGCCTATAAAAACTCTTTCCATATTACATGTACAAGGTATAATTCAAATACTAACAATAATATAATATAGAGAAAAATGCATTCTACTTATGAGCACACACAAGAAAATAAATATTTACAGTGTTAATTAATAAACGTAAAGTATATTTAGGTATGTATGCAAACTAATCATCATGTATTCAAGTACCTTGAGACATGTAGATATCCTTTATAAGTTATTAAAAAAAAATATATATATATATATATATATATTTATATATAAATTTAAAGTTAAGATCCATTTATTACACCTTGTGATCCGTTTATTTGGCAATCGCCAATGGCAGTCAGCAGGATTTAAGAACATTTGTTGTTCGACCTGTTAGTCAAATGCGTTTTGTTAAAATATACTTTTTCACTTTTTTGGTCTTTTGGAAAATGTTGTTTGTGCTGTATTTAGACCCCTCTAACAAGAAATTTGTTTTGCATGCACACGTATAAAAATTGCGGTTTTTATCCAACGCAATCATAGGTTTGAACGTTGTTTTCAATTTAGACTTGTATATATATATATATATATATATATATATGTCTGCCTATGTGTAGTGGCAACTGTAAATTATACCTTGTCCATCGGATTTCTTATGATTAAGAAATACCAGGCTTTAGAATATTTATAAAGTGCCTAGAAAATCAACCTAACAATGTTAGAGTAGATTTGATTCTTTACTTCTTCCCCGAGCGGGGCTGGAACTTGTACTTTTCACTTCATACTTCTACGGCAACACCGCCTAGCATTGCGCAGACGCCTTATCCCCTCCCCTAACTATAGCTGATAAAAATCAGATTTCGTTTTCGGGAGGTGTTACCTTCTCATAGGAATTAAACAAGGACATCTAGACGCAATACACACATATATATAAGGTTTGGAAGAGACACTAAGCCTAATTCGTGGAATAAATGAATTAATTTTAAAAGAAAAGAAGGAAATAAATGAAAAACAAACACTAAATAAAACATTAATTAAAAAAATCCAAACAAAACGGTGAGTTGCTAGCATTATTTCTAAGTTGACAATGGCTAATATTATGTTTCCTTATCTTATAATTGAAAGGTTTAAATATTTCATCAGTCCTATAAATACACAGGGTGTTCGTTTTATGTTGTTGGTTTTCATGTGTGTTTACTGTTTGGTCTTACATGATATTGGGTTATATTACAATTATTTTATTTTTATTTTCTATATTTATGTAAAAGTTAAGATACAAAATTCTTTCGGAATTTAAGAAATTGGATATTGGAATTCAAATTTCACGTTAACCCCACCTTTGGAAAATGCCAGAGGCCTAGGCATATTTCGCATTTTTATATCATATCGATGCATCTACATGGTGTTCTATTTTATAATACATTACATCTCCAAATATTCTAAATACCTGTTTGATTGCAGACAAATAACTTTTTGCATATACAATTAGACAAAATAAATCTAGTTATAGACAGGCATATTTTACCTCAATGTGAAAATATACCTGTATTCAATTTAACAGTTACCAAAATGCTGTTATTTATAATGTAATGGAATCCATTAGAAGTCTTCTTTACTTTCGCCATAGTTGTATGCAAGTTGAAATGTGCGTGTTGGTGGTAAAATATGTTTTTTGTTCGTTGATTGTTAACTTACCCCGGCAAAGACAGTAAGCGAAGTTGATTTGGATACATAAATGAAAAATTAATTGTGGCTCCCTCAACAGCGGTGAAACGTAACCAATGATCAGTAATTTAGCTGTTTTTAAAAGTGTTTTAGCGACGTTCACCTTACTCCGGGAAGGTGTATCTTTGGTTTTGTAATCAACTGCTATTGGTCATTTATAGTTCAAACGATACTACGGTATTTTCTGCATTGAAATTCTATAGCAATTTATCTACATATTTCTGAAGATTATGTCTTCCTGCGCTGATAACGAAGATGGTCCTTATATTCTACTCCACCGATGGTTTTACTATATTTTTTAATGTGTCACATATCATCATTAGTTAATCCAATTGTCTTATAAGAACAATAACTCCTTTAACTACTATACGGAGTCATTCTAAGGTTACGGTCCTGTTTGGTATTATTGTAGATCTAGTACAGCTATCATTTTTGTCCCCGAGAGATTTTTCTAGCTATTATAGTTTTCGAGATATAAAAAAATTTAATGCATTTTATCCTTTTATTCTATTTTTAGTAATGACGGCAAGGTTTGTTGACTGACTGGAACAAACACAAATTTTATAAAACATATCCTAAAGATCACTCATTTCAATATTGGTGGATTTCGGTTCAGTAGTTTCAGATAGTCAAAATGTTAATCGGGACTGAACTGAACCGATCACCAGAGAGGAAGATACAAAAGCCGTAACTAGTGCAAAAGTTCGAAAACTATAGCTATCGATGATATTCCCGCGGAAGTACTTGAAAACGACACAGCAATTGAACTTCTGTACGAATATAATGAGTGGTTGTTTCCAGCTCGATAAAGTCCCATTAGAATGGACGAGAGGAATAATAAACCAAATATTAAAAACGAACGCAGACAATGAACGTATACTACTAAACTACAGTGAAATAAAATTTGATATCAGTACAATGTAAAATATACTGTAGTATTCTGAATAAACGGCTTAAAAAATGGTCAGAAGATATCGATCATTTCTGCGAGAAACACAATGGCTTTCGCAGGGGTAGAAACTGTGAAGTTAATACCCAAGCGTTATACTTTCCCTCGAACGATAAACAAATATCCCGACTGTCAACACATGTATGCTTTATGAAAATGATGATAGAGTTTGAAACCCTGAATAGAACACTGTTATGGCATGAACGTCAAGCGTTGAGAATACAGGGAAACTTTCTTACAGCGGTACAGTCACTTAACACTGACGCCAAATGCACTGTCCGACTGAATAATGACTTAAGGTCAAGTTACAGTAAAGGGGCTATGTCACAGATTTTGCTAAAATTTGGCATACAACTTTGGCGCGTTGGACTATAACTGAAAATCAAAAAAATAATGCATTTATCTCTTTTATCATCGGAAATATTACTAATTGAATTCTTTCAAAGTAGGTGAACATTTGTAAAGAAAGCACATAAAATCGACAAAAAACCTACTCAAATTTGAATTAAAATCATAAAATCTCTAATACATAGATTTTTCTTAAAAAAACTATTTGTTGTCGATATTCAGTTATAGTTCAACAAGCAAAAGTTCTATGCAAATATTTAGCAAAATCTGTGAAATAGCCCATTTACTGTTCCTTGACCGTAACCCCTTAGTTTGACGTAGCGAACGGCGTAACTCAAGGCTGTTTTTTTTTTTTTTTTTTTTTTTTGTCACCAACTCTTTTTACCGTTTATATAAACATGCGACTTGGCAGATTATATCAAAGCTCCTAACTGTGATGTACGTATTTCACTATATGCTGATAATATAGCATTGATAGCACAGGATGAAAACAGTCTGCAGCAAATGTTGAACGTTAGTACGGAATGGGGCAAGAAATGGAAACTGTTAACGCAGATATAACGAAAATTGTTAATTTCGGTCCGAAATCGACAGCCGTCTTCAATTTTTGTTATGAATGTAGTGGACAAAATATAATAGAAAATGATTCATATAAATATCTTGGAACAGGGCTAGACGAGCATGTGACATTTTGTAAAATCGCGAAAGAACTGTCAAAACCAGCCAGTTGAGCATTACGTGCATTATTTGGAAAAGTTTGCTTGTAGAATGACACATGACGTTTATACAAAGCTCTATTCAACAGTGGTTGAGCCGATACTTTTGTATGGAAGTTGAGCATTGGGAACAAAGACATTCACTGAAATAACATTTGTTTAGTCCCGAGCATGCAAATTCTGTCTACTTGTTGGACAATACAACAGAAATGTATCTTCTCGTGGTGATTTGGTTGGACATCATGTGAAAGAAACAGGAAATCCTGCACAGGTTTTTTTTTTGTTCAAGTTATATAGACTGAAGGAAACGAGAATGCTCAGTAATATTTGAAAATATTCAGCGAGTTGACGTAAAGGATGGACATTAATGGTAAACCAACTGATAGATAAGATTGATATTGATTTATATGTACAAGACGCTACGCTATATTCTTAATTTTTGATTAAATTATCAAATGAAAAACAAACTCTCCGTACTACACAATCAAGAATGGAAAAATGAGATATTCAATGACAAATCCAACGAGATAAACGGCAGTGAGTTGCGCACATACAGACTCTACAAAAGCAACGTATCTGTTGAATGATATTGTTGAAAATCTACCAAAAACACACAAAAAAAACCTCTTGGCTATGTTTCATGCGGAAGCATCACCCTTAGCGCTTAAAACAGGATATTATCCTAGGCCGCCAGTACCAGATAAGAACAGACTTTGTAAATTCTGTAATTCAAACGACGTTTGAACCAAAAAACATTTTCTCAAGACATGTATCTTATACATTGATCTCTGTTCTAATGCAAACTAAACAAATCATTCAATTTTAGTCATTATTTCATTGTAAAATTGTAATTAAACGAAAATTCCGCGAAATGATGATATCTTTTTTGGCGTCTAAACTAAGTGACGTCATAGGTATGCTTCCGGCGTCAAACGTAAACACCGAACGTTTTCTGACTTCTTGTCCGCCTCCAAATGTATTAAAATTTGATAAAAAGAAGATTGCTAGGTGCAAAATGTGAGTTTTTTTGCTTATTATTGAAAAAATTACATGTCAATACATTCCAGAATTCAAAATGTCAGCTTCCTTAGTTACAGACAGGGAGATAGAGAATTTTACGCTTATTGTCATCCAATCAAAACCATTGATACAAACTTATTGCATTAGAGTTAAGATTTGACATTTTTTATGAAGCGTCTAAACATATTGCAAACTTTACAAATATTAGTATGGACGCAAAATGTGTTGTAATTATGAATTGTGACACGATCCAGCCACTATTATGTAAAATACTACACAAATTTTACGTTCAAAGGAAAGTGCATCTAGATGTCTGATCTAAAAAAAATGAATAAACATTTACCTGAGAAACTATTTAAAAAAATAAACAATATATTGTTATTAATTTATTTATTGTGAAGTATTCCAGAATGGTTTTTATGTAAATGTTATTTCCCATGTTATAACAGGAGATCTTAACATCGTTCAAGACCGAGAGTTAAAATCATTCCTCAGTAAAGGACCTAAATATCATCCCCCGTCAATTATTTATTGGAATGATTGTCGTAATATCATCCACGACTCACTCCATACTTACTGTTAGAAATGGATAAAACGCGAAAAAGCTGACAAAAAATCTTTGGACTCTTTTTTTAAATCAGTAATGAACATAGTTGATATACGTATTCAACATTTTAAAGAACATTTTACTCTTAACAATAACCACAATAAACCTATTTCTCGTATCAAACATAAACTAAAAAAACTAGCCAAGGAATTTGTTTTTGTCCCGGCCGATAAAGCTGCTAATAATATTATTATTGTTTGACTTACATTTTACATTGAGGTTCTGAAAAAAGAAATCACCAATTCACCAACATTCCAACTGACTCCATTTTCAGAAAACGACATCTGTAACAAACATAAACTTTTAGCTACCGCTTTACAAGCAGAACCAAATACAATGAAAGTCCCAACTATGTATTGGCTTCCGAAGCTACACAAAACACCTTACAAATATAGATTCATTTCGTCTTCAAGCCATTGTTCCACTACTAAATTGTCTATTCTTCTTACCAGTACACTTGGAACAATCAAAAACCTGATAATAAATTGTTCAAATAAGGCCTTCGAAAATAGTGGAATTAATAACTTTTGGAGTGTCAAGAACTCGTTGGAAGTACTTGATAAATTGCATGCATATATTGGTGATTTTGAATCTGTTCAAAGTTTTGATTTTTCTACCCTATATACCACATTGCCTCACATTCTCATTAAGAAAAAATTCACACACCTAATTAAATGGGCATTTAAAAAGTCAGAATGTGAATATATATGTTCAAACTCTTTTAGGTCATTTTTTAGTAGCAATAAACAAAAAAACTATGTCAATTGGACATGCTTTGATACTATATATGCCCTTGAATTTTTACTAGATAACATTTTTGTTCGCTTTGGAGATTCCGTATATCGTCAGGTTATCGGAATTCCAATGGGGACTAACTGTGCACCACTTATTGCGGACCTTTTTTTGTATTGCTATGAGTTACAATTTATGACAAAAATCAGCAAAGACCCATCGAAACAACATCTGATACACAAATTTAATAATACTTTTGGATATTTGGATGATATTTTGGCTCTCAATAATGACGACTTCAGTATGTATACTAAAGAAATTTATCCTGTTGAACTTACTTTAAATAAAGCTTATACTAACAATGACCACTGCCCTTTCCTCGATCTTGATATCTATATCATTAACGGAAAGCTTAATACTAAAACATATGATAAAAGAGATGATTTTTCATTTCCTATCGTTAATTATCCATTTTTAGATGGTGACGTTCCCTTGTCACCATCTTACGGTGTTTATATATCTCAACTTGTACGATTCGCTCGTGTATGTAACAATGTTTTAGATTTTAACGAGAGAAATTTATGTATTACTGAAAAATTATTACACCAGGGTTTTCGATATCACAAACTAGTCAAAACATTTACTAAATTTTATCATCGGTATAAGGACATCATTCGTAAATATAGCTCAACATGCAGACTTCTTATACGTTCAGGTATTTCACATCCAATTTTTTATGGAAATATTCTTTATAAAGCACAAAAATGTCAGTATTCACCTCTGAAGCTAACAAAACCTTTAAATAGACTTATTAAGAAGGGATATAGTTACGAAACTGTTGTCAGGTCATTACAGATTGCATATTTTGGCGTTAATATTGATTCACTTATAGGGTCTTTGCATCGGCACTAAACACATTTATTTAAAAACCAGTTGTTGGCTTGACACGGGTTATGTTCTTCTCATATATGTTATGATGGTATGATACTAAACCCCTAACGGGAAGGATTGTGCCTGATATTCATATGATGAGGACATAATCTTTCAATCAGTTTAATTGAAGTCTGGAGCTGGCATGTCAGTTAACTGCTAGTAATCTGTTGTTATTTATGTATTATTGTCATTTTGTTTATTTTCTTTGGTTACATCTTCTGACATCAGACTCGGACTTCTCTTGAACTGAATTTTAATGTGCGTATTGTTATGCGTTTACTTTTCTACATTGGCTAGAGGTATAGGGGGAGGGTTGAGATCTCATAAACATGTTTAACCCCGCCGCATTTTTGCGCCTGTCCCAAGTCAGAAGCCTCTAGCCTTTGTCAGTCTTGTATTATTTTTAATTTTAGTTTCTTGTGTACAATTTGGAGTTTAGTATGGCGTTCATTATCACTGAACTAGTATATATATTTGTTTAGGGGCCAGCTGAAGGACGCCTCCGGGTGCGGGAATTTCTCGCTGCATTGGAGAGCTGTTGGTGGCCTTCTGCTGTTGTCTGTTCTGTGATCGGGTTGTTGTCTCTTTGACACATTCCCCATTTCCATTCTCAATTTTATCTGTTAACTATTTTCTTTCTTAATCCTATAAGTTTTAAGCCAGTATTTTACAAGGGATATTGATGAAACATTTCAATGCGTTATTTAAATTTGTTTAGTAATTATGTATACAACTTTGTAAAACATGTTTGCAGTGTCTCATAAGTCAATTTGTGTGGCTGGGTATTAACAATTTTAAATACTGAATGTGTTTAATTGTATATTTTGTAATTGTTAATCAATACATGACACTTTAATACACTATATTATTATATAATTATATATAACAAATTCAATTCACTCGTGTGATTGGACGACAAGTGGATATAAAGTTGTACATATTCATTTCCCAAATTGTTTTTTCACAATTAGCCGGCACAAGATGAATATTTGAAAAATAAATTCTCAAAGCACTTTCAGCACTATGTCGTGAGACACG